CTGAATACGCCCGATCTCGTCCGATCTCGGAAGCTAAGCAGGGTCGGGCCGGGTCAGTACTTGGATGGGAGACCGCCTGGGAATACCCGGTGCTGTAAGCTTTTCTTTCTCACCTCACACCACCAGAGGCCGCTCTTTCCTCTGCAATGGAGACACCTCTTTAAAAAATACCACCACTGGAAACATTTACATGATTTTTATTTGCTAATCTGGACTTCATACTGTAGTATATAGTGCCGCGCACTTATACTGTCATGATGATGTTAGTGACGTGTAGGCGGAGTAATACAATGTTTTATGTGTCTAGTTCCCGTCTAGCGGTGTGCATGTGATGCTGGTTACAAGTGTGTGTAATAAAGTAACACTCTTTGAGTTAAAGACAAGCCTATGGATATCCGTCATGTATGTCGAGTCATCCGGTCATGAAGAACTGTAACACATACTCTGTATTATAGTGGACCTGTACTTTTACTTTATTTATACTTTTGGCATTTTGAGCAAATTCATGGATTATATATAGGCTACATAGTTCATCATAATCCTGAATGCTACTGAATATTAAATGTGTCCTCATTTTAAAATAATCCTGGATGTTCTGAAAAAGAAAACGTGCAAAGCACATAATGTGAAGTAGGACAAGACAACACAGTCCTTTGGTTATATTTTCAAATGATATTTTTGCGTTTTTTTCTTCACTATGAACACACACTAGCTCATTTTGAGTTAATGTGTACTCACTACAGCACCAAATATATATATATCAGCAGCTCTGCACACTGTACAAAGAGATCTCCCATCTGCCTGATGAACATGATTGCTGAAAATGTCAAAATACAAATCAAGTAAAAGTACAGGTAGGCTATAATACAGAGCATGAAGTCCAGATTAGCAAATAAAAATCATGTAAATGTTTCCAGTGGTGGTGTTTTTTAAAGAGGTGTCTCCATTGCAGAGGAAAGAGCGGCCTCTGGTGGTGTGAGGTGAGAAAGAAAAGCTTACAGCACCGGGTATTCCCAGGCGGTCTCCCATCCAAGTACTGACCCGGCCCGACCCTGCTTAGCTTCCGAGATCGGACGAGATCGGGCGTATTCAGGGTGGTATGGCCGTAAGCAAGTAAACATGGAACACACAAGCTATTTATACTTAATAACACACTGTGAACCATTCTCAATACGGTTGAATGTGGTTATAGACTTAGAGACTGTTACAGCCCATAGATGAGTGTTTATTTATTGTATGTGAGTGTTCAATAGTCTTACAGCCAGGGGAAAGAAACTGTCTCTGAATCTGGACGTCCTGCTACGGATGCTGCAGAACCTCCTGCCAGAGGTCAGCATGGAGAACAGTCCATGGTGGGGGTGGGTGGGGTCAAAGGAGATGCATTGGGCTCTGGTCAGGCAGCGCTTATGCCCAATGTCCCGGATAGAGGGGAGCGGGGACCCGATGATTTTCTCCGCTGTCCTCACCACTCTCTGCAGAGACTTCCAGTCAGAGGCCTTACAAGCCCCAAACCAGACAGAGATGCAGCTTGTCAGTAGACTCTTGATGGTGCCTCTGTAGAATGTAGTCAGGATGGGAGGGGGGAGGGAGGCTCTCCTCATCCTTCGCAGGAAGTGCAAGCGCTGCTGTGCCTTTTTCGCCAGGGAGGTGGTGTTGAGGGACCAGGTTAGTGTGTTGGTGATTTACACTCCCAGGAACTTTGTGCTACTGATGACCTCCACTGCAGTGTTGTTGATGAGGAGTGGTGTATGACTGGGCCGAGATTTCCTAAAGTCAACAATGATCTCCTTTGTCTTGTCAACACTGAGGATCAGGTTGGTGACTTTACACCAGTTCACCAGATGTTTCACCTCGTCCCTGTAGGCCAGTTCGTTGTCACCCTGGATGAGGCCCATAACGGTTGTGTCGTCCTCAAACTTCAGGAAGTGGTTGGTACTGAATCTGGGTCGACAGTCGTGTGTCATCAGGGTGAACAGCAGGGGGCTGAGAACACAGCCCTGGGGGGAACCAGTGCTCAGGGAGATGACGCTGGAGATGTTATTGTTCACATGTACAGACTGGGTTCTGCTGGTGAAGAAGTCCAGTAGTCAGTTGCATAGGGGGGTGCCGAGGCCCAAGTGACCTAGTTTGCACACCAGGTGCTGAGGGATGATTGTATTGAACACTGAGCTGAAATCCAGAAACAGCATCCCCACATGGGTGTTTTTATCCTCCAGGTGTTCCAGGCTCAGATGGAAGGCAGAGGAGATGGCATCCTCTGTGGAACGGTTCGGCTGGTACGCAAACTGGAATGGGTCAAGTGATGGTGGGAGTGTGGAGATGATGTGGTCCTTCACCACCCTCTCGAAGCACTTCATAATGATGGGGTCAGTGCTACAGGGCAGAGGTAATTCAGGTTAGTGATGTTGGATTTCTTAGGCACTGGAATGATGGTGGCAGCCTTGAAACATGACGGTACAACAGCCTACATCAACGAGGTGTTAAAGATGTCGGTGAGGACACAGGCCAGCTGGTCGGCACATTCTCTGACGACCCGTCCTGGAATGTTATCGGGGCCTGCTGCCTTCCGTGTGTTGACTTTTCTCAGGGTCCTCCGCACATCCATTGTTTCAAGTCTGAGTGTCTGCTCGTCGGGGTGAGGGACAGCTTTCCTTGTGGGGGTGGTATTTAATTCCTCAAACCGTCCGAAGAACTGATTCAGTTCGTTGAGGAAGCTGAGTTTGTCCTGACAGGGGGAGGGGGTGCCCTTGTAACCTGTGATGGACTGGATGCCCTGCCACAGATGTCTGGTGTTACCTGAGTCCTGGACAAAACCAAAATTCAGGTTGGCTCTTGTTTCACTGAGAGCCCCCGCGTCGCCAGATATAAAGGCGACATCTCGCTCCCTCAGCGCTGCTCTTACCTCCTTGGTCATCCATGGTTTGTCATTGGCTCTGGTTATGACAGTCTTGGTGACAGCGACATCTTCTGCGCACTTCAGGATGTACGCACACACAGTTGACGCATACTCCTCCACATCTATATGATCACTGTCAGTTGCAGCCTCTTTGAATATGTCCCAGTCAGTACTCTCAAAGCAGTCCTGAAGCGCCGACATAGCTCCTTCAGGCCACACTTTCACTTGCTTCAGGGTGGGCTTACCTCTGGTGAGCAGGGGCTTGTATGCTGGTATCAACATAACAGAGAGGTGGTCTGAGGAGCCAAGGTGGGGGTGGGTGGCTGCTCTGAAGGCCTTCTTTATGTTGGTGTATACCAAGTCCAATGTGTTCGCCCCCCTGGTAGCAAAGTCCACATGCTGGTAAAAATTAGGGAGGACAGTCTTCATGTTGGCCTGATTAAAGTCTCCTGCCACAACGAAAACACTCTTATTATTGATAATCTATGATTTTCATTTAGG